TCCAAACTTCATTACACGGTCACAGTTATCTAGTAGCATTTCATTTTTCATTATTTTTTTTACTAATTGAAATGATCTGCAATTTGAAACATGTATATATCTTCGTCCTCTTCATTTTCTTCTATTATCCCTACACTCGTACTGAGTTGGGAGAAATTTACGCTTAAACCTCTTCCTTTAGCTTTCTCCGAGTCATGGGATGGAGAGAGGGAAATGGAAAGAGGAGTGAAAGAGGCGCAAGTGATTGGTGGTGATGGCAAGAGAGAGGGAGAGGAGACACGGTTGGGGGTTTTACCGAGAGAAAGAGGGAGAAAAAGGAGTCCGTTCCAAAAAGAGAGAGAGAGAGAAATGAGGATTTATTTTATGGGCTTCTTCGGTGGGCAGTAGGGGGTACGAGAGAGTGGAGGAAAGGGTAGAGAGAGAGAGGAGAGTGTATGGTGGTACAGGGTGTCAGCATGCAAGCATTAAATGGAAGGGAAGAGATAGATATTACAATGGTACCCGGTTGTCAGGGCAAGCATTAAATTTTGAATAAAAATTGAGGGAGACAACATCGTAACAATCAATTTTACACAAATAAATAAGACCATTTGACGCACTCAAGAAGGGTACGCGAGCCGGCGCGCATGATCTTTTATATATATATATATATATATATATATATATATGAAAAGAGATGAAATTAATTATGAACATATCGGTCCAACGTTTCGGATTGAATCTAGGTTAATTTGACGATCACGGATGTCCAGTAATATTTGAATTTAGTTTTTATTTCTACAAATCTAAATTACTTAAAATTTTAAGCGTATGTACATAAAAAATAGTTGAATATTCGAAAAATATCAAAAAAAATATTTTACATGAAATAAATTGATCAAAATACTCTCGAAAAGCTTCGAGGGATATTTTGATTGTTTTATTTTTTACGAATAATTTGTTTTATAGTTTTATTAGGTGCGTCTTGATGAGAAGAACACTCACCTAAAATTTCTAGTGATTTTGATCTGTATAAAAATAAATAAAATTCATGCACTATCGGACATCCGTGATCATCAGATCGGTTCATATTCAATCTGGGCCGTTGGGCTTATATATTCATATGAGCTAGTGGGCTAACCTCATATTTTTCATATATAATATATATATATAGTTTTTTAAAAAAAATTCACCAAAACAACCGTGATTTTAAAATACTCGATTCGAAAACTTTGAACAATAGATTGCCCTTTTATTTATCATAATTACTTTAATCTCCTCTTTTAAATCAAATTTAAAAAAGGGCATATGAAGGATTGCACAATACCTAAAAAAAACTCTCGGCCAATATCTCTCCAGCACTCTTATAAGTTATTGTGAAATGGGATTTGAGAGAGAGGGCCCCATGCTTCCAAGATATGAGAGAAAGAGGGATGCACAATCTTGCTGTAAATGGGTTAGAGAGAGAAAGAGAGCTGTAAAACCCTGCTATAAATGGGGTTGGTGAGAGAGCAAACTTCTAAGTCGAGAGAGAAATAGAGGACACCAAAGTCCTGCTGTAAATGACGTTAGAGAGTGAGAGACCCAAGCTTCCAAGAGGAGAGAGACTGATTAGGTGCTTCAAACGAGAGAGAGAGAGAGTGTGTGTGTGTGTAAATTTGAGACTTTCATGAAACAGAGTTTTTGGGGCGTCTTTTGTCGGAGAGTAGGAGAGACAATAGGGGGAGAGTGGGTGCTCCATAAGAGGAGAGAGGTTTTCTATTAAAAATACATCTCATGCCTTTTTCTAATATGATGATATGGAATAAATTCATGTAATTAGATTATTTCAAAGGCAACTCATTGTCCAAAATTTTGGAGTAGAGTTTTTTAAATTCTTCATTAATATTGTGAATTCTAAAATAACTATATATATATAAGTAAACGTTCCAATAGCTAAGCAGCTATAATGAATAGTAATATATGTAGAATCTCAGCCGTCAGATATTCATCATGTGGTTTAGAATATATATAATTATTTTAATTTTAATTTTTTTTTATAAATTTGATTAAAATAAAATTTTGGATGTATATATCTAACATTATTTCGTACTATATAAAAATATAAAAAAAATATTTCAATAATTTAAAATGACCAAATTACCCCTATTATTTTTCAGAGGTCTTTCGATCATTTTATATTTTGGAAAATATTGTTTATATATATTTTAATTGTGCACCCTATTTTTTAGTATACATGTCTAAAATTTCATTATGATCTGATTTCTAAAAAGAAAATTAAAATTAAAATAGTGATATACATTATGAACCACATGACGAACATCTGATAACTGGGATTTCACCTATATTACGATTCATTAAAGCTGCCCAGCTATACAAGCATTCTTTATAAATAAATATGTCTATAGTTTGTACATCTTGACCAATACTGAACAGTAGCTGCACAAACTTTTGTACAAAAGTGTGGATTTTTAACACAAATCAGGTTTACGATTTCATAGCTCAAAGAACAAAAAAAAACACATATTTTTCCGAAAAAAATCACATATATCTTAATAAATGACTCATCCAAAAAGCTTTTCAAATTTTTTTGACCAAGAAGCTCTTGAAATCTGCAACATAAAAAAAAAAAATCAGGTGTTAGGATTTTAGTATGAAAGAAAAAAATTTATTTTTTAACTAAAAGATATGATTCCCTGTGACCACTAAACAAAAAACACTTTTTACCAATAACTCATAAAACCTACAACTCAAACTTCAAAAACATAAAAATCCGTGACACATTCTTTGCAAATTTTTTACAAACCAGGATCACCCCAAAATTTGCAATTGTTTGTAAACTGGATCTTATGCAATGCAAAACCAGAAAATTTTAAAAAAAAAAAAAAACCATTTTTTAGAACACAAGTTCTGCCACAAAATTCTCGTTTCAACCAAGTAGCTAATAAAATCCTTAAGTGGAAGGAATAGACGTACTTGATTTCAATATGGGGTTTATGAGCTTCTACAAGAATAAACTTTAGAGCTTATTTGGAATTTTTGAGCCATATCGATTTGGCTATTTGGAGCTTCTTAACTTGCTGGCTGGTGAGTATATATACTTCCCTATTTTTGGGAGCAATGAGAGAGATGAGTGAAGAAAGAAAATAGATGATGCTTGAAGAGGGAAGAAAGAAAGGATAAGGGGAGATGATGGGAAAGGAAGAGAGAGGAGAGAGAGAGAGCGAGGAGAGAGAGAGGGAGAGGACGAGAGAAGAACGGTGAGGAGGGAGAACGACAGATTTGAGTATTTCAATGAGGTTTTAATTTTGAATTCAAAATTTGCAACTCATGCTTCAAATTTTATTATAAAATAATTTTTTGTGAATTAATCTCATCTATTAAATTTAAAAGAATCTAATGGTTAAGATTAGGCCAACTCACAATTGCATCATATTATAATGCAACGGTGGCATCATATTATAAATGCAATGGTTGCATTGGATCACTTCCCTTTGGAATATTTTTTTTCAATCTAAAATTTGAGCAATGATCCAATGCAATGGTTGTTTATAGTATAATGCATCAACACTTTTAGAAAACCATGTTTGTAGTATTTGTATGATCTCAAAATTTGGACACACACTCTCTTCATC